TATATATATATATATATATATATATATATATATATATATATATATATATATATATATATATCCTTCTTCCAACCCAGCCTTCTTCCTGCACGTTCCCTCATCCGTCCGTCTGGTTACGAGCACTGTTTTGATTTCTAATTGCTCCCTCTGGCCGACACCACCAATAAGATACTCCCTATCTATCCTTTAATGCGTCGGTTGTGTCTCTTTCTTTTCTCATATAAATAGCTCCCTCAAGGGCTCCTCTTTGATGTGCATTCCAACTATCTCCTATTTCTTGAGATGGAAGATCAAATCTCCTCATCTCCGAACAGTGGTTTCTGCTCGATCGATGGCTCAGCTTGGTCTGAGGAGAGCGGTTGAACCATGTACTTTGAAGATTTCATGGCATCATGCAGTGAGTCTTCTCTGATCTCTGATGCTACTTCGTATACTGCATGGAAGCCATCGGAGAGCAACGGATGCAGGAAGCTGCGTTTGAAGAAGAGGAAGCAGAGGAACTTCGTGGATGATGACGACCCTTTGGGAGATACTGCTACCTCTCCTTTTGATAGTTTCAAGGTCACAATAACTTTATCCATGTGCTACTTTTCTTTATGATCTCGATCATTGTTCACTTTGCTGAACTCTTTATGCTTAAATTAGGATTGTGAATTAAGGGACGTATCTACGAACAGAAGGAAGAAAGATGATCCCAGCATATCTTCGCAGGTGACACAATATGCAGCTTTTCTTGCCCTTCATTTCTTTTTGGGGATATATATAGATTATTCATATAAAGAACTAACTTTGGTTTCTTTACCTTCGATACTACAGGAGGAGGATACTGGTTGCAGAAATGAAAGGGAATCGGAAAACGAAAATGTATTTGAATTCATAGAGAGATCGAATAGATGTGCAGATCTGAACAAAAGGGGGCTTTGCTTGGTTCCATTTTCCCTCTTAGGATGCTATCTTCGATAAATATCATTTCGTTGCCAAGAGAAAAAAATACAAATACTTGTGCATCTATCCTCTCTCTCTCTCTCTCTCTCTCTCTCTCTCTCTCTCTCTCTATATATATATATATATATATATATATATATATATATATATATATATATATAGTATGCATGCCCAGGCCCTCATAAGAAGAAGACTTAATTTCCGGCCTCTTAGTTGGTTATAAGACGGAGATTATAAGATGCATGCATAATAGACAATAGTTTAACTTTCAACGACGACTTAATAGTTGATTGGAATGCTTAATTAAATGAAGCATTGAAACTTTCTGTCTGAGAAACCGAGTAAGACATGTTTACATGTCTTCCTCTCTACGTGGACACATTGCGCTGATGATAATAATGCTTCATGTCTTCCTTTTGATCTTTAATTTGAGATAGCGCCGAGGATGCTAATCGAGAAAGAGAATCTCCTGGATCAAAATCTTGGACACCAAGTCCAACAAAGTTTACGTCAAGCAGAACACAGCACATCATCGTAGCACTGCTCATTTCATCAGGCTATGTATATGTCTTAAAGCGATTGGAATTCCATTAGGTCAAACCTAATTTTATATATATCTAGCTTTTATATATAGCGTACGCATAAGTTTACAGTGGTTGCATCATTCAAATAATAATAGCCTTCAGGTAGTTTGCCGTGTTTGTCTCGTGAGCAAAAAAAAAAATACAGCTGAATGAAGCACTCACCTCGTGGTGCCTGCATCAAAAATTTTGTTCGAGTCATAAGGTTACACTGTCTCCATCTCGTCCCACCCCACCTGAACAGCTTGAAGGTTTTATGGTGGGACGAGATTTATTCGGAGGCCATCCTCCTCCAACTAAGGTCGAATATGACGACGGTACTATAGCTACACAGACAACTCTCGTGTTGTGAAGGAACAAAGCAATGAATGATCTCACCGACTACTCTTCAAAAGTAATCCACCGTGGAAAGAAGCGCCACGACTGTAAATAGAACTACTGCTAGTTGGCTAACGCTATGCCGCGGTCCGGATGCTGTGGGTATGTCATCCGGAAGCTCGCACTCGTCTCCGTTGAAGTACAGCCTGGTAGGAAAACCATCCCCCTTCACGATGTTGATACCGGGAGTTTCCTTCTTGGTGAATGAAATCACCGATTGTTGCTTCCCAGGTACTCTCGGATCCACGCTTGGGTCCTTTCCATCTGTTTCCGCTATCAGATAGTTGAGACCCTCCAGTCCCTGAAGAAAGATGGTCTTGTTGATTCTTCCGGGGCCTTGTAGCTTTGTGCCATTGAAGGAATACACTTTCTCGTAGCCCCGATAGAATTTATCCATCTCCAACGCCACGAACCAGTTCTTGAAGGTGTAGTCAGCCCAGTTGAACAAGGTGATCCTCGCAGTCCATCCTTTTCTGTAGTTGGACACTATATGCCAGTTCATGCTGACGCCACAGTTGTCCCAACAAGGTAACGGATTGGGGACGTGGCGATGATTGATGCTGGCCCACGCTTTGGCCTTGGCCGTCCGGTTCTCGGAGGGGACCAGAAGAGCTTCCGGCGGGAGAAGCAATGCAGTCGCGACGGGGTTGCACGCCGCGTCCTCCGAGCAGCCGCACGCACAGGTGTTGCAGGGGACGACCGACTCGTTGTAGAAAGCGGAGTAGGTGACGCAGCATCGAGAATGCTTGCTCTTGGGCCTGGTGATGTTGCAGACTATTTGCCAACTGGCAATAGCTTCGGTTTCCGACATGAGACCGTTCGGATCTGGAAACTCCATGGGACTCACTCTGATAGGAGGGCCACACACGTAATTCGGATTGATGAAGCCATTGATCTTCCAATTCTGAGGAGGATAGAAGACGGTACGGTTAAGGTCCGGCGGGAGCTTGTAAACCTGAAGCTGGAAAATCGCCTTGGACTGGGTTATATTCATGGTAGGGGGGAGGAGGGTCCCATTCTTGCAACAATAGGGAATGTTCCCAAGTGCATCGTCTTTTTCTTTCTCGGGAGGGAGATCCACAATGATGGGCTTCTTTTCGCAGTTCATGACGGTGGAGAAGTCCAAGCTCTGGTAGTAGTTGCCGGCTTCACCGTAGATGCAGTCTGAGATGTCTTTCCTCAGGGTGTAGGCTCCTTTCATGGTGTTGATGAACTCTCCCCGCTTCCACTCCCAAGTGAGGTTCCAATTGTCGAGGCGGCCTAGAGGGTGGTTATTGTCGATGGTGATTTGAGCCATATAGTTGCTGTCATAGGACCGGAGTACATCGTAGGCGATGGTGAGGTCGCCGTACCGGCGCGGAAGGAATCGGGTTTCCTCCGTTTTTTTAGCCTTGAATTTGGGGTCTTTCACGCAGCAAACATACATCTGGCTCCCTGAAATGAAACACCAGCACAGCCAATAAACACAGCCTATACCTTGTTTGTAATTTTTGGTGGGAAGAGCAGTGGAACGAATCCCCTCTCCCCGTCCCCTGATTCATTTAATCGTCAAGTTCTCTGTACATGCAGATCAACTTTCCAATGTTCACTATTCAGCAGTAAAACAAGTTTTACCTTTTTTGGTGGGTGCAGGACACTTGTATCCATCGTTAAGCAACTTGATCGTCCTTGGCATCGGGGTCCCGGGTGGCTTCACCCCGAACTGCGTCCCCGTGAAATGCATCTCTACCCGAATCTGGGACAAGTCCCCCGCGGTATCGATGGCATTCATGAGATCAGTCTGCGGGAATCCCGACAAGGACGTGCCATTCTCGACATTAACCGGGAAATCGGTCCCGTCGGTTATCACCGCCCCGGACGCCGACACCAAAATCTCATGGTGCTGAAACCCGATGAACATATTCCATGCCGGGAGGTCCGTGGTCATGGTGTTCAGTACGGCGGCCGTGGACTTGAACGCGTACGACTGGGCCGACGCGTTCTTCACGTGCGGATACTCCTTGGTGCGCGAGATGAAGGTGTAGGTGAGGAAGACGCCAATGCATCTGTCCTGGGCCGCCGGCGGCGGGTTGACCTTCTCGTCGTAGTCGTAGTCCTCCTGCGCGCGTACGGCTGCGGAGATGGCTAAGGTGATGAAGGAGACCGCAAGGAGGAGGACAGCTCTTGGCGGTCGCCGAGGCGATGACATTGGCGCTTGTTCTTGTTTCAAGAGAGGTCTGAGTTTATCAGGAACAGAATGGATTGTGAGGCATCAGCTGCAACCTTGAACTGAGCCTGAGCTATTGCATTGGATGGGAATATGTCTTCTGATGTGTGGAAGATGGTAAGAGAAGTGGATTCCGGAGAGGGAGAGATTAAGGGGAGGGAGGGGAGGGGAGGGGAGGGGAGGGGGTGAGGGGTGAGAGGACGACGGAGTCAAGCTCAAATATTTGGACCGTTGGGCGTGTGCACGCAATTGGCGGGACCAGTTTAACGGCCGGTCACCAAATACATATGGAACCAAAATTAAAATTAAAATTAAAATCGAAATAAGAAGAAAAAAACCAAAAAAGAAGTTTTAGCCGCCCGCAGAGGACACCGTAGCACGAGATCGATGCATCAAAATTTTCACGTGCGTAATTGGCCGATAGGATCATGCGGGTTTCGTTTTGGGTTGCTGTTGTGCGTGTAAAGCGGGAACCACACAGGTGTGGGGAGGATAAACTCATTTATCCACCGTCGGAGATCGACTCTCTGTGTTCCTTAAGCTTAGTCCGTTCCTTTCTTCCTCTTTTCTTCTAGCCGCTCCATATCTTTGTTGGTATGCCGGGGGGAGGGGGGGTACGTGATCGAAGCTAACTCGAAACAATAAAATGAAAATATACAATATCATGGACGTTTCTTCTTGGAATCCAATAGAGGTAGCGTCGGGCGGGTGACAGATTGATCGGTTGGATAATTTTAAGAGAAAAAGATGGTTCCCGAATCCTTCTTCTGACTCTTTAGCCGGTTCTGCTTCGACAAGCTATATTTACACACATCTTGTTCTCCTTGGGCGTGAAAGCAGGTGGTAGCTTCAGTGGAGTTGAGGTTGAAGATGTCTGCTGTAAAATCTCTCGGACTACTTTGTTTCAGCTGCGAATGAATGATATGAAGCTCACAGAATAGGTGGTATAGGCCTTCTTGATGGGAGGAGGCTATATCATCAACATTTTCTGACTTTTGTTGATCTCCTGAATCATGTCAGCATATATCTATAGTATTTGTACATCCCTTCCAAATATCGTCTGGAATGGATGGATTTGAACGATCCAGAGGTCTACCATAGATGGAAACATCTCAAACGACAGCTTTCCCTCGACATTATTACATCATAGCTGCTCTGCGTCAGAACAGAGAGCGAGGATCAAGTGAAGGCCCCAGAGAAGCTCCCCCCTAGGAAGTACCCTGGCAGCAGCTCATAACCCTTCGGCGAAGGCCACTCCAGTTTCCTTCAACCAGGATCCGCCTTGTATGAGCGACGCCACCGTGAAGGCCTTGGCCGTGTTGGCGTCGGTGATAACGTGGTACCCCGGCCACTTCACCCGCCCGCCCGTCCCGGCGCCCGGACCCCTGTTCTGATACTCCCCATAAAACAGAGTCTTGAGAGCAAACTCCCCGTCCCACTCCAGCCAGCCCTTGGAATTGATGTGGCTGTCGATGTAGGATTGCATGACCACCGTCCTCGAGTACGCCTTCCACGGTCGGCCAAGATACGACGGGATGGACCCCTTGACGGGGATGAGGTCGTCAGCGGGCACGACGTTGCAGTTCTGGATTGACGTTCCTGTGTTCTGGTTCGGGTCCTCGCGGCCTTGGGCGGTGACGAGGTTCTGCTGGTTGTCCATGGGCCGGCGGGCGGTGAGGTTGCAGTTCTGGAACACGACGGCGGCGTTGCCGAAGACGAAGTCGACAGTGCCCGAGATGAAGCTGTCGCGGTAGAACTGGCGGAGGGTGTGCGCGTAGAGGGTATCCTGGTAGCCGTCGAGGCGGCAGCGGTTGATGACAGACCGGTCGGCCCCGACGCGGAGGGCGACCGCCTGGTGCTTCTGCGGGCCGGCGGTGTTCTCGATCTTGAGGTCTTGCAGGATTAACCCATCGCCGACAGCAGCTGCGTGCATTGAATTGCCACGGAGGAATGTGAATGTTTTTGTTTGTTTGTCGGAGATTAAAAGTACATATGCTTGAAAAATTACGAGACTGAGTTCCAAGTTCTGGTCTCAAGCTTCCATTCGGACTTGCTCTTCCTCAAAAAGGTAGAAACTTTTACCTCCAAGAGAAGGAACACAGATGCAAAATTTATGGTATCGATGAATCTCTATGTTAATATCTTATGTTGACGGAGATCTATGTTAATATTCTAACTTGTGCCACACCAAACTCCAAAATGTGTATCCGTTTCCCAAGGACGCAGATAAGGTTGATGCCTCTTTTGCTGTCTCGGATCCTTTGATATTTAGTCCACCAGCCCTGCTTTTTACTTGGATCTACTGATAGATATTTATTATTATTATTATTATTATTATTTTGTATCGTCCTGTATATAAATATGTACTAATAATTTGCATAAACCTAATTTTAATACATAGATAGTAGTGGATAGATTAAGTTGGTAAATACTAAAAAATATATATATGCTAGAGAAAAACATTACCTAAGGTGGCGGAGTCGAAGGTCGTGGATCCGTCCACCACATTGAGGCTGCCGGTGATGACGGTGGCGTCCATGCCATCACCAACAATCATCACGTTAGTCGTCTTCTTCCCCAAGCTCACGTTCTCTTTGTACACACCCTTCTTCACGTAGATCACGTACCGGTTCTTGTTGCCATTTGGCACCGAATCCACGGCCGCCTGTACCGTCTTAAACGTGCCGCTTCCATCCTTCGCCACCACGGCGTTGGCCTGGACGGCGTTGGGTGAGGTCATCTGTAGAAGCTTACGATCTCGGTGCGACAGCCACGACGGGAAAGTTGCGACGGGTTTCACGATGTCATCATCATTGTCGTGCTCCGAAGAGGGGACCGCGTGGAGCACGGCGAGAGACGCGCTGGCAGAAGCCTTGAGGGATTCGAGATGAGCCTGCATGGCTGACTTCGCTGCGCCGTGGAGGCCGTCGAGGCACGTGGCGTGGTTAGTGAGCACAGCACTCATCCACGTCCTAGCGTCGGTGCCGGCAGCGTCGCCGCTGCTGACGATGCGGTCGCGCGAGAGTTGCAGCAGTTGCATGCAGTCGGCGAGGGCCGCCTGCTGCTTGGGCTCCTTGAGTAATCTGAGGTGGATATCGGCGGCGGAGGCCGCAGCGGCGTCGAGTTGGACTAAAGAATTGTGGAGAAGGGAGCGGAAGATTTGGACAGGGGTTGGGTGGTGATTCTCAGCACTGGTGAGCATGACTTGAGAGACGATGGCATGGCAGGAGGTGGGATTGGGGGATTTGGCGCAGAGATCAGAGGGCTGGAGTGGGGGATTCATCGTGGTGGTGGTGGTCATTAATTGGATAGTCATGAAGGCAGTGAGACAGACGACTGTGGCCAAGGACAGGGTAAGCAGCAAAGCTTTGCAGGGCAGGCGGGTGGTGTGGGTAGCGGGAGAAGAAAGGAGAGGCTCGGTGGTGGGTGCCGCCATGGCAGTGGGAAGTGATGGGTTATGGGAATGCGCCTCTTGTGTTTGTGGTTCATTTATAGATGGAGAGACATAAGATGTGAGAGAAGATAAGATTTTGCTGGCAGCACGATGAAAGATACGAAGAGGATGGATGAGTTTTATTAAAGTGAATAATTAATTATTTATACAGAAAGGTGGATGATGGTATAAATGGGTCTTAATAATTGTTTCTTATATTCAGTCAGACATGTGGCCAATGCAGTTGGATAATCAAACCGATGGCTGCCCGTCCGGATTACTTTTTTTTACTGTTAAAACGTGACGGCCAGATTTTTTGTTTGTGTCCAACACATGGACGTGACATGTGCAGTGCTGTGTGATCTGACAGTGTTCCACGTGGTTGGCGTTATCGAGGTATTGCGTTACCCCTCTTATTATACTGGAGGGCAGCTCCGTGCAGAGAACGCACCCGACTGGAAGCTCAAAGGTGAAAGTGGGCAGGCACGGGAGACGACCGGTTGTCGGCGTTAGATTCGGCTTTCCTAGCTTCGCTGTACGTATATTAAATATATTGCGGAATGAGGGTGCGATGCCGATGGAAGACACCAGAACTTGGGGTGCAAGTGCATGGATGGATGGATGAGAGTAGGAATCAAGGGCTCCAAGGAGTATGAGAAGGGGAACGCGTGCGTGTTTCGATGGTCTTATTGTGGTGTCCTTACAAAATCTGTGCTTACAAAATTAAAATTCTGAATCCTAAATTCTAAATCTATTCTCATCCAAAATATTAAAAGGAATATTATTATTAAAATTTGTTAGAAAAATGGCACTCACTCAGACAGACAAACTTAAAAATCACTCGAGTACACATTCTGGTGGATAAGCTCCAACAATATTATTGGTGGGGACCATCAGACATATGATCCTAAATCATAGGAAATCAGGGCCACGCTTTTATCAAGTACTCATGGTTCCAAATTCAGGGTGTGCGAAAGCTTTAGCCCGTCTACATGTTGCTCATGTGCAGGTACATGATGATGATGATGATGATGATGATGATGTTGATGTCTATACTTCTTTTTCGTGACTGGGAAATGAGGAGGAACGGCGCAATTAAGTACACCCACAATGCGTTTACAACTCCGTGAAAGCATGTTTGAACCAATTTATTTTTTAATAGGTGATCGATCAATAATGGCTGATCGCCTTTTTAGCTTTGGGCAAAGAATATGAACGATGAAAGAAATTATAAATTTTAACTTAAAACATAAGATATATATATATATATATATATGTATATATATATATATGTATATATATATATATGTATGTATATATATATATAC